CAACTGGGATGACATACAGCATAAATGAGTTCAAGGTTACAGAGAGCAAATTTCACTTAAAAGAAACAACTACTAAACAATAGGATTGAGTCTATTAATAGATATAGCATTCTGTCTCAACTGTTTGATGACTTTATCTGTTTGCTATCTACACTGAGGAATGACAAAACCCAATAGAGGAGGAGTACAGTTTAGTTGTGACACTGTATGCTCTTATGTCTGTAAGACACCAGCTTTCTCCAAAAGATAAAGTTGTAGTAAAGGAAAATAGTCAAGGTTATCAAGTATCATCTTCTGCAGGTACAGTACTTTTCATATGTATATACTTCACTACTATGTAATATATATTGGCATCATAAATGTTTCAACTAAAGCTGGGCGGTATATAGGAACACACTATGAAATTGGTATTATAGGCTGTACCGGCTTCCTATAATCATTTTTATAGTTGTTTCAGTCACTTCAATCACAACCCAGTGCTACATGATGTAGAAAATTACTATGACAACAATGAAATTACTATGAATTAGGTACTGTGAAATTACTATAAATTACTATAGAAGTCTGCTGTGTCCATTGTTGATTAAAGAATTTTTAAAGGAGCTGCAGTTACCTAACAGCAGATGAGTCCCAGCTAGTGTTGATAGAATTAAGGAAGTCTTTCTGGAAGAGCTTGAAGCATGAGAAAGGACAGAAGGATTTGGGAAAGATGATGGTAAGGACACAAGAAACAGGGAAAGGTCTACAGGAGTTACACTTTATGGTAATACTAAAAAGAGTATTTGTTGCTGTTGTGGTATAGGCGGGCACTCACCTTCCAGTTGCAGCCTGCAGCAAGGTCAATGCTATTGAAGAAAGAAAGCAGAAGTTACGAGTGGGGGAAGGTGTTACATGTGTCTAAAGAAGGGACACAATGCAAAACAGTGTTGTAAACGTTTTAATTGCAGTGAAAAGCACCATACTAGTATCTGTCGTAAAAGCAGCAAACCACCCAAGGCAGAATTGAAACCTGGAGCTACACCATTTCAGAGTGGTACTCTTTCAAGGCAATTTAGTACATTATCAGCAACAATAATAGATAAACCCTTGTTGGTAGACTTCACAAACATGCTTTCAGGAGAAGAAAGAGTAACTCTACCTACTCTCAGCACTGTCTTGCATATTCTTAAAACAAGTGGTTTGTGAGTCATCTAATGACACCTCACTTACTGATGAATAAGATAAAAATCCTTAATTATTTGCAAGCTACATTATGTAAGTACTTCGACTCCATCACTTATGAGTTGCTGAATATCACTAGTTATCTAGATCCTCGGTTTATAGTCAGTTACATTCCTAATAATGATATAGAGGATACTAAGAAATGGCTGGTTCAAGAAAAGGAGAGCAGATTATAGACAACACTTCAAAACTAGCAGTACAGCAGGAGGCCCAGCTATCAACTGAACCACAATAAATACAGGAACCTCTTGGCCAAGAATAAATAAATCTAAAAAATTTAAAATCTTTTTTAATTTGAATTTTAAAAGAAACAAGAAGGAGTACATCTAGTTCTCAAGACTCCAGTAAATGAATTAGAGAAGAAATGGATGGCTAAGAAAAGATGCCCAAGCCAAATGCTGATTCCAGTCCTCTCTGGATAACTCTCAGCACTTCCTTCCCAGTGCTGTCAACATTAGGCAAGAAATATTTATGCATATGTGCTTCAAGCTCTTCATCATCAAGAGTTTTCAGCACTGCAGGTCACAATGTTTGTAAAGAGATGTTTTATGAAGCCTGATAAAGTGGACATGCTTTCATTTTTAGCTAAAACCCTCTAAAATCATTGTGAAATCTTGTTGCTATGAGCTATGATGATTGATGTTTTAAATGTTTTATCAATGATTAATTATTGATTATTATTGCTAAAAATAATAGATACAGTATATTAGTTTACAATATACCACACCGGTGAGGTGTATTTGGCTTATAGACTAACCAAGCCCAAGGGCGAGGTTAGTATATATGTAATAGGTATTACACCCTGCTGGAGGAATTATCTGATATATAAACACGAAATGATATTCATAACTCCTGAGGGCATAGCCTGAGGGAATTATGAATATCATTGAGTGTATATCAGATAATTCAGGTAATGCCTGACTTATTCAACAGACGTCATAGAGATCAAAGGTTGCTTTGATATTGCCATCCAACCATTACTCTTGCCTAGCAATGGTACTACTAAGATAGCTAAGGCAAAAGAATACGAAGATAAAGAGTGACCTTTCAAGAGATTTGAAAAAGTAACTAATGACGAAGAATTTCAAGAAATAGCTAAAGGCCATGTACCAGAGAATACTAAGAAGAGCAATGCCTGCGCGCCAGTATTCAAAAAACAAATTTCGCCTACAGGTACTCTATTAGGACTCCCTGAATGA